CCCCCAGCGCTGCTGACAGCAGCGATCCCGGGGGACCAAACACAGCAAAACACCACTACTCTCCAAGTACAAAGCCACTGACCGCCTGCGCACGGAGCTCAGCACCACTAGCACCACCACCACTGGGATGCACCACGCTCTGTTCCCAGCCCAGCTTGGTAGGGGCAGCTTCGGGGTCTGGACGGACTGGAGAAGCACGGAGCAGAAATACAGCACCTGTAACCGCCCTTCTGCATCCAGCACAGGCAGCCTGTGGTCTGCACAGCACATAGGAGACAGCTGAGCAGGGGGGAAAAAAAAAGCCAAACCAATTCCAGTCACCTCTGAAATGAGCAGAGTGCCAAGCACCAGTGGACAAAAATCATGGGAAAAATACTCCTGAAACTCCAGACACAGCATCATCCTCCTTCTCTCCCCTGCCAAAGAAAACAGGAAAATTTGTGTCTTTTGCCCACCCTTTGGTTAGGCACTTCTGCAAAGCAAACTCCTGAGCAGCTGAATCTTCCTCCCGCAGCCACAGGCCGGCCAGCCTCTCCAGGACTGCGAGGGCTTCTCCTTTCCCCACTGCTGACTTTAGCACAGCTTGTTGATCTGCTGCTAATTTTGTACTTTGTTATTTATTTGTGTAGCAGCTTTCAGTAAATCCCCATAGCTAAATCCAACCACGTTTGCTGAGGACATTAAGAAAACTAAGTTCTAGGGGTTTCCTGTGCGAGCACAGTTCTGTAAACACACATCCCGCCCCGAGAAAAGACCCTTTCAATTGATTTACTAGAAAAAAAAACAACCCACATTTTGTTTCTCTTTAACTTTCTCTCCTTCTCATGCCGGCTATCTTTGCAGCTCTCTTGTAAGCGCGAGGTCACGGCAGCTCAGTTACATTCACCCCAGAATGGCTTCGCACAGCACCAGACCCGCAGAGGAGTCAGCTTTTGGCAGCACCCTCCACAGGGCCGATCTAAACAAGCGACCAGGAAGAGCAACGAGCAGAGCGCGCAGTTAATTTTATTCTCGGAGGGGAACGGAATAAATAAGCGATACGAATCAGCACAAGGAGTCAGAGCGCACAGCTCAGAGTTGCAGGAAACAGGACGAGTCGGGGCTCTTTGTAAGCACAGTATCAGCTGCTGAGACATGCCCGGGCTCGCTCCTGGGCACTTCCCGCTTGCTGGGAAGTGGGAGAGGCTGCGGAGATCACCCTGCAACCCATGGGACAGGACAAGCTCTCTGCATCTGCGAGCATAAAAGCCCTGGTAAAAGCACAGCAAAACCTTCACAAGCTGGGGCTCGGAGGACAAGGCGTGGGCAGGAAAGCCAGGCCTTGGCTGGGTGCTGGTGTACGGCAAGTCCTTCCTCCGGCACCGCTGCTCACGGGTGCTTCCCAGCCAGCCTCCTTCGTCCCTGCTGCTCTCCACCCCACGCCAAAAAGCCACGCAGGCACCACACTGCAGAGCACCAGCTCCATCTGCCGCTCGCTGTCGGCATGCTGCGCTCCCAGCTCCACATCTGGGACACAGCTGTACAGGCACTGTGGGACCAGTGACGCCACGTCATGACTGCCCCATGACTGGGACAGTCCAGGTCTGCCCTGCCCTGCACAGCAGGGAGGGTCCTGTGCCTAAGCTGCTCCCATGCACCCCACCGCGGTGCATCCCAAAGCCCCTCTCTGCTCTCACCCTCCCCATGCTGCCCGGGCAGGCTGCAGCCAGCTGCTTCAGTCTCCAGGAGATTTTAAAAGTTCCTGAATTTGCTTAGGGAGAGACAAGAGCTGGCCCGTGACCTTCCCCAAGGGTTGGGATCCAGTTCTGATTCCTGGGCTTCACTCTAACAGAGGACCCAACTGATCCCAGCTCTGCTGGGAGGGGAGGGCAAGGACAGCTCCAAAAGCAGAGCCTGAATCATATCCTCACAAAGGGAAAGTAAAGTTCGGGGTTTTCAATCAATCCTGCCTGGGCAGCTCAAGCTGCCCTTTGAGTACTTTATCAAGGCTTACCTCTGGGCCTGCTCTAGGACAACACCGTAAGAACCAGGAGAGTGTTCTAGGGACATCAAGGGAACTGGGAAAGGAGAGGTCTCAGGATGGAGATGGGTTACTGCTGGAGCTACCTGAGCATCAGGATCGACCACCTTCAACATTTTAGCAGCACCAAAGGTC